TACCCAACACTATAGTACATGTTTTATCAAAGCCATGGCCTGGCCACTTGGCCTTCTGATATCTTTTCATGTAGAACAGCCTAGGACACAAGTCTTGGTAAAATAGTGCCTATATACATATGATATACGTTCAGTAATCCAGTTGCTGTTCACTTATTATTGTCGCACAAACATGTCACAATCCACTCAGAAATGACACGAATTCTGTCGCTGTTATATCAGTGCAGAAATGTCTGATACTTTCGAAAATCTTAACTTTTCGAACAAAATCTGTTTTATGGGAGACGGCAGTCACAGTAGAAGAGTCTGAGAAAGTGCATAAATGACCGAAAGAAAGAAGGGCAGAGGGAGAGGGTGAATGAGTGAGAGAGAGAGACGCAGAATGTAACTTAAGAGAGGACCTTAGGGTCTGGCCTAGAGAGATGGAGTACTTCATGACGTCATCAAAGCTTCTCGGTTTTTCCCCCAAACTCAAATTTGTTGCATGGAGTTGACATTTTACAGGCGTGTGTCATGTCTATCCTTCAACCCAATGCCCGCTAGTGATCAGATATATATCGTATGAGATATATCATACTGACAGGTCCTTCTGTGCTGACAGTTCCTTCTCACACAGCGTGCCCGCCTCTCCTTCATCATTTTTATTATCATTATTGTTATTATACTTTTCATTATTTGTCGTATTATCATTATCAATGTTTTCATTGTCATTATCATTGTTATTATTATTATCATTATTATTGTTGTTGTTATTATTATTATTATTGTTATTGTTATTATCATCATCATCATCATCATTACTATTATGATCATTATTCCTATTGCTATTATTACTATCGTCATCATCATCATCATTACTATTATTATTATTATCGTCATTATTTTTATTAATATCATTATCATTGTGATTAATATTATGATTATTATCATTATTATTGTAAATACCATGACTGTTATCACCATTAAATTAATATCATTATTATTATCTTTATTATTACTATTATTTTTATCATTTTTAGTATAATTATCATTATCATTACATCATCATCATCATCATCATCATCATCATTATTATAATTATTTTTATTATCATTATTATTGTTTATATTATTATCATTATTATGATGATGAGGATGATGATGTTGAGGACGATAGTGATGATGACGATGATAATAACAATGATATAGTACAGGTCATTCTGTTTCATACCTGGAGTGGTAGAGATTCGAGTCCTGGTCAGGGGGGTTGTTAGTTACCTTTCAATACGTCATTGCATTATTTCACCTTCCATTATTATAATCTATTTGATCATTAGTATTATCTGTAATGTCATCGTTATCATCTTATAATAATTTCTGTCTATTTCTGTGAACTAGGAAGTCAATAATTAACGACCTCATTATAGAATAATTAGAATCGGACACTGAAAGACACTTAACAAAATAATATTCGGGTAATAAGCAATCAGGGGTTGTCGGTCGAATGTGTGTGTGGGGGGGAGGGGGGGGCTATAACCTGCAAACCGGGAATATCCCAATCAGCTGTTTTATTCGTGCACTTTTCTTTGTACGAAGCTAAATTAAGCGCAAATTAAGCCGATCGAGCGAAAGCAACTGTGAGAGTGACTTGCATCTTTCCAATTATCCATATTTTAATATCAATCGTCATACTGATTATTACTGTTATTGTTAACATGTTTACTATTTTCTCTATAGCTCCTTGTTAACAACTTTGTCATCTAATTTCCCACTCCTAAGCCAACATCGTTTTTTTTCATTAACTTAAAATATTAACTCAAGTTCTCTCTCTCTCTCTCTCTCTCTCTCTCTCTCTCTCTCTCTCGCTCTCTCTCTCTGTCTCTCATTCTCTGTCACTGTCTGCCTCTTTCTCTCTCTCTTTCTTTCATTCTTTAAGTGTCAGTCTGCCCTTAACCCTCTCTCTTTCTTTTTCTCTCTCTCATTTTTTGTCTCTGTCTCTGTTTGTCTGTCTGTGTGTCTGTCTGTCTCTCTCTCTCTCTTTGTCTCTCTTCCCTCCCCCCTCTCTTTATCTCTCTCTCTCTTCCCCCTCTCTTTCTCTCTCTCTCTCCCCAAACGTTACCTCGAAAACGTTCCCGACTGGCGCAATGAAAAAATAGGTGAAGACATAACCCAGCCGACTTTGGACAAGCTTAGTATGCAAATGATATGCAACAAGGCTTTGCAAGGCCCGTTGTACCTGACCGTTACATTGATAAGATTCTTGGGAAGAGGTGGAGGGAAAGAGGTGAGAATAGATGGAGAGTCGAGGATAAAGAGAGAGAGATATAGAGAAAGAGAGAGAGAGAGAGAGAGAGAGAGAGAGAGAGAGAGAGAGAGAGAGAGAGAGAGAGATGGATAGATTGATTGAGAAATATATATATGTATATATATATATAGACAGATAGATAGATAGACAGGGAGATAGATAGATAGATATATAAATAGAGACAGAAAGATAGATAGATAGATAAATAGATAGATAAATAGATAGATATACAAATAGATAGATAAACAAATAGATAGATGGAGAAAGAGAGAGAGAGAGAGAGAGAGAGAGAGAGAGAGAGAGAGAGAGAGAGAGAGAGAGAGAGAGAGATGGAAAGATAAATAGACAAATAGATAGAGAGAGAGAGATGTGGATAGATGGATATATATACATATATATATATATAGAGAGAGCACAATGAAATAGAAGGGGACACTGTATATTCAAAACTGCAACATACATAACCGTTTTAATAAAACTTTTCAATAAAACCGTTTACTACTGAAATATATCATAAAACCTTTAGAACACTTTTGACAGCAAGTATCAAAAGGCGATATCAATTTCTATCATGGAGGGACAAAACTGAAATGTACAGAAGCACTGTTGAGAAAATAACCTACAAAACAATAGATGTAGCTATGGTGATAATGATAGTAATATAATAACCATCAAAATATTTTTTAATGATCTATGCTAAAAAGAGAGAAAAAAAAATATGCTGGTGACAGACAACAATAATTATGGCAATGGAAGTATTTATAATGACAATGCTATAATGATAATAGCATTAAAAATCGTAAAGGTATAGGTAGTGCCAGTAATCATGATAAAGACAATATTAACGATTCTGCATCATGATTTTCCTCAAGAACAACAAAATTGATAATAAAAACAATAATAATTATAATGATAATGGTGATAATAAGGATGGTGATAATAATAACAGCGATATTAATGGTAACAGTAATAATTTTGATAACAGTAATGGCATTGATAATGATAATAACAGTGATAATCATAATAATAGAAATGATGTTAATAATAATAATAGTAATGATAGTAATAATAATAATGATAATAATGCTGCTGCTGCTGGTGATAATAATGATAATAGTATTGATAATGATAATAATGATAATAATAATAACAATCATAATAATGATAATAATGATAATGATAATGGTAATGATAATGACGGTGATAATAATAATATTTGTAATGATACTACTATTACTACTACTGATAATAGAATAATGATAAGTAATAAAATAATGATGATAATAGCAGTTGAAAACAACAACAACAACAACAACAATAATAATAATGATAATAATAAAGATTAAAGATAATATTATAGCAATAACAATGATTATAATAATTATAATGATAAAAGTGTTAATACTAGTAATAACAGCATCATCAACAATAAAAATAATGACATAGAAAAAAAAAATGAATAAAGAAAAGATAGAAGAGGAATGAAAGATTTGAATGGTAATGATGTCTGTTTGTCTCTCTGTGTAAATCTCTGTCTGCCTGTCCGCCCTTCTTTCTGTTTCGATTTATCTATGCAATCCTCTGTTTTTCTTTCTCGCTATGACTGTCTGTTTGGCTGTCTGCTTTTTGCCCTTCTGTCTGTCTAAGTCTATGACTATGTATGTCTCTCTCTCTCTCTCTCTTTCCAACTCTCTTCTCTCTTTCGCCCTTCTCTTTATATCTGTTTGCCTGTCCTTCTGTTTCTTTCTACACCTCCCCTTTTCTCTCTTTCTCTCTTGCCACACCGTTTGATAGTTACGATCTTGGTGATATTGAGGCTCATTTCGTTTGTATTTGGCAATGCTGTTTGTTTGTTCCTGGAAATGAAAAACATACATACATAGGATTATTTCTACTACTCAGTATAAGTTTTTGACGGCTTGTTAAATGTCCCATCTTCATGTTTGTCCGCCCCCCCCCCCTCTCTCTCTCTTTCTCTCCTTCCCCTCTGTGATCGACAGACATACAGTCTAGACATAAATGTGTGTGTGTGCCTGAGAGAGAGAGATATATATTTTTGTTCCATTCCACTCTATGAAAACATAAGGCGAGCCAAATAACGTCCCCGCCAGTCATTTACTCGCCTGTCGTTTGTTAACGAACATTTGCGTTTTTACGTGGGATGATGTAGGAATTTATGCGTATATTTTCATTGATCTGTGTGCGTAAACGTGTATCAAGATTATCCTTTACACATACGGGTATGTTTTGCGCACGATTAGTGTTATCACCGAGATGGACCACTCGACCGGCCAGATACATTCCCGCGGGGCGTCTCGGCGGAACTTATCCTGATCTTGGTGACGTCATAGGCCGGATGAGCTGATGGGCGACCGCTATAAGAAGAGGCCACAGACGTCTCCCGACCAGAACGAGCTCTTCCTCGAGAGCAGCTCCTCACATTTCTTCACTTCGAGAGTGCCGTTTCCGCTGCAGTGATGAGTGAGTGGTTCTCTACTTTTGTTCATTATTTACTACCGTTCTTAGTATCTTTTTCACTCATCTTAATATGAAAATTGAAACGAAATCTACTGTAATTATACTATGAATGGTGAATATGATCTTTGCCACCAGGTCGTCTTGGAAGTCCCACTCGGGCCTTGGTAGTCCTCCTTCCACTCCTCGCAACCTGCGCCTCCTCCTCTAACTCCTCCTCCTCCTCCTGGGCCTGGCTGTCCATGCCTTCGCCTCTGACGTCCCTCTCGGCCCTCTGGGCTCCCTCCGACCCCCGTCCACCCCAAGGATGTCAGCTGCGTTATCGGGAGAACATCGTTCATCGAACCCAGCTCCTTCTCACTCTCCTCGAGGACTACGTCGACTTTTACGTGAGCTCTCGTTCCTTCTTTGTTGTCCAGCATTAAATATCTCTTGTGCAAAAAATTAAGGAAAATGTGAATAGTCATTAGAAGCCAAAGGTAATGAGCGACGCCCCTTTCAGGCGCAGGAGAAGTTCGGCAACAGCTGGGCTGTGATGGACGCCATTTTCAGTCCGGAAGTGGACGCACACTTGGTGCTCGTGTGCGACCAACAGCTCGAGTGCGACCAGGTCCTCCCTCGCCTGCCCTCGCCCCCCTCGACCTCCCCCGAGTCCGAGGAGCTCCTCCAACAACTGCTCACTCTCAGCCGTCGCTACGCCCTCGCCCTCGAGCTGGTGTTCCTCGACCAGTCTCTCCACGAGGACCACTTGGTCCTCCTGGAGAGGACGGACCAGATCTACAGACACGTCCAGGGCCTCGTGGACGTGATCGTGGCCCAGGTGGAGCAGTGCCGAGTGGACGCAGACGACGCCGTGGTCGCGAGGCTGGCGGGGAAGCTGTACAAGGGCGCCTCCTCCGACGGGAGGAACCAGCGCGGCTTCCGCACCTTGAGGCAGTGTCTGTTGGGGCTTCGCTACATCAGGAGCCTCTTGTAGTCGAGCCTCCTCTCGCCTTATTTATTGTCATCCTCTCATTATCCATCGTCTTATCTATTAAAAGTTATATTTCATCTAATCTTTTTTACACTTTACCAACCAGTACGTTTTATCAAACCCATGGCTTGGTCACTTGCCTTTCTGATATCTTTTCTTGTAGAACAACCTAGGACAATACGTCTTTCCAAAGTAGTGTTTATATACATATGAGATACGTTCACTACTCCAGTTCACTTATTGTCAAATAAACATGTTACAATCCGTGAAATAACACGAATTCCGTTGCTGTTGTATCTGCGCAGAAATGTCTGCTTAACCTTTCGGACAAAGTCTATTTTATTGGAGACGACACAATAGAGGAGTGAGAATGAATACATGACTGAAAAAGGGCAAAAAGAGAGGGTGAATGAGCAAGAGACAGAGAATGTTGTAGAAGGATATTTAAGAGAGGAGCTTAGGGTCTGGCCTAGGGAGATGGAATGCATCATGACGTCATCAAAACTCGACATCATCCCCCAAACTCGAACTTGTTGCATGGGGTTGATATTTTACAGACGTGTGTCCTCATGGCTACTCTTCATACCAATTCCCGTTATTGATTAGATATATATCGTGTGAAACCAAAGACTAAGTTTTGGCACACGATTCACGTCTACAGCGAATTCCTTCGGGAGATCGCGGGAACAACACTTTTTTCTATGAGGCTCCAAGATGCACTCCTCACTTACAGGGGCATTTCAACTTGTATTAGAAGATTAAATGATAATAAGAATAATGAATAAAGAAGAGTGCCAAAGTTAAGAGTTCATTTGTCCCATGAAATACGACTGCTTTTTTTTGCATAACCTCACTTGAGCTATTGACTATTTTGGTATATAACAGCCAAAATTTTGCTCTATAATGAACACAGTGTGTGATATCTTATAGATACCTAATGTAATTACGAATATGTGTGAAAATAAGTGTGGTAGGAGAAATACAAGTTTATATATAAATGTTTATATATCATGTATGCATATTTCTTAATCAGTATCTGATTTTATCTTGATTACAGACACCGTTTTATTGTTCGATAAATCATTTCATTCTTTCACATGTAATTGCAGAAGCATTCTCAGTCTCATGGGCCATGGCTGCCGAGGAGATGCTATTGGTCTTCGAATGCAGACAAGCCTTTCCTAAGCTTGATCTGTAGGCCTTTAGCATGTGTGTGCGCGTGCATATTTTTGTATTCTATGCAAGCAAATATCTAACATCATTTATTTCCTCGTCGCAGCTATTCATTACGTAGCTAGTGCTCAGCCTCATCATAGCGCATCAGTTACATTAATACTTCCACATTTTCCAAGCCCGAATGGCTCAGTCGGTAGAGCATTAGGCTTTTAACCTAAGGGTCCAGGGTTCGAGTCCCTGTTCGGGCGGAATGTTTTAAAAAGAAAGAAAGAGGGAGATGGAGAGGAAAGGGTGAGAGAAAGAAAGCAAGTGAGAAGGGTGATTTAACTGTGACTTGGTGTCAGAAAATAGTGAATATATCAGGATTATAATCCATTCAACCTGACTCATTACCTTCTCTTTATCTTGAATACACTGAGGATAAGTGACTGAGACAATGTGCAAAAGAAAGCTTAACCTATTCTTCATGCAAAAATCCTTACAGACTTAACATTAAAAATCACTTAGATCAGCTTGAATTTTTTTTATGTCTGTCTTCCCCTTAGTATCCCCTTCCTTTCCTTACTTCTTTTAAACAATATTTGTCCAGCCGTATCTGAAGAATATAAATATAATGATAGAAATCTTGTCCCAAAGATACGATAGCCAAGCGCCAGATAACGTTCCCGCGGAGCGTTCTTTCGCGAAAAGGTGTCGCTAAAACTCGTCCTCATCTCGGTGACGTCACAGGAAGGATAACCTGATGGGTGGCAGCTTTAAGGAGAGGCCAGCCACGTCTTGCGATCAGAACAAGCTCCACCGCGAGAGCAGCTCCTCGGATTTCTTGCCTGCTGTGAGAGCGACATTTCTGCTGCAGTGATGGGTGAGTGGCTCCTTATCTTTTTATCTTTTTTTTACTTCTGTTTTTCTCTCTTTTTTCTGTGCTTAGGATATCTTTCATTAATCTTAAAGTAAATGTTTGTATGCCGTTTTCTATAACTGTTCTAAGACCCTGTACTATTGATGTATAGTGAAGCTCAGGTTAATGTAGACTGCTTTTACTTTCCTTCATCTGAATTTGTACAAACGATTTTCTCTGATCACTTAAAATAATTTTGCTCAAGTGAGTGTGGTCTTTATCTCCAGGTCGTTTTGAAAGTCCCACTTGGGCCTTGGTCGTTCTCCTTCCACTCCTCGCCGCCTGCGCCTCCTCCTCTAACTCCTCCTCCTCCTCCTGGGCCTGGCTGTCCATGCCTTCGCCTCTGACGTCCCTCTCGGCCCTCTGGGCTCCCTCCGACCCCCGTGCGCCTCAAGGATGTCAGCTGCGTTATCGGGAGAACATCCTTCATCGAACCCAGCTCCTTCTCACTCTCCTCGAGGACTACGTCGACTTTTACGTGAGCTCTCGCTTCCATTAGCCCTCTTTTCAGTATCTCATATTATGTAATTACTTTTTTCCTGTTATCCAAATAAAGGATCGCCACTAATGAGTGACATACCTTTCAGGCGCAGGAGAAGTTCGGCAACAGCTGGGCTGTGATGGACGCCATTTTCAGTCCGGAAGTGGACGCACACTTGGTGCTCGTGTGCGACCAACAGCTCGAGTGCGACCAGGTCCTCCCTCGCCTGCCCTCGCCCCCCTCGACCTCCCCCCAGCCCGAGGAGCTCCTCCAACAACTGCTCACTCTCAGCCGCCGTTACGCCCTCGCCCTCGAACTGGTGTTCCTCGACCAGTCTCTCCACGAGGACCACTTGGTCCTCCTGGAGAAGACGGACCAGATCTACAGACACGTCCAAGGCCTCGTGGACGTGATCGTGGCCCAGGTGGAGCAGTGCCGAGTGGACGCAGACGACGCCGTGGTCGCGAGGCTGGCGGGGAAGCTGTACAAGGGCGCCTCCTCCGACGGGAGGAACCAGCGCGGCTTCCGCACCTTGAGGCAGTGTCTGTTGGGGCTTCGCTACATCAGGAGCCTCTTGTAGTCGAGCCTCCTCTCGCCTTATTTATTGTCATCCTTTCATTATCCATTGTCTTATTTATTTATTAAAACATGTTATTTTATTTGAAACTTTTTACACCTTCCCTGACATCCTGCTTTACCCAACACTATTGTACATGTTTTATCAAACCCATGGTCTGGTCACTTGGCGCTCTGATAGCTTTTCATGTAGAACAACCTAGGACAATAGTGTGCATAGACATAAGAAATAATTTCACTTTTGCAGTTGCTGTTCACTTATTGTTGTCACACAAGTATGTCACAACAATCTACTTAGAAATAACACGAATTCTACTGCTGCTGCTGTTGTAACTATGCAGAAAAGTCAAATATTTCCTAAAATCTGTTTAACCTTTCGTGGGAAATCTGTTTTATGGGAGACGACAGACACAGTAGAAGAGTCTGAGAGAGTGAATAAATGACTGAAAGAAAAAAGGGCAAAAAGAGAGAGTGAATGAGTGAAAGAGAGACAGAGAATGTAGAAGGTTACTTAAGATAGGACGTAGGGTCGGGTCTAGAGAGATGGAATTTGTTGCATGGAGCTGACTACCCTTTACACCAATTTCCGTTATTGATTAGATATATACAGTTTGAAGCCAAAGACTAAGTTTTGGCACACGATTCACGTCTACTGACAGTTCCTTCTCACACTGCGTGCCCGTCTTTCCTTTGGGAGATCGCAGGAGCAACTCCTTTTTCTCACAGGCTCCAAGACACTTTGCTTTTAGGAAAGGACTTGAGCCATTTTTCCGACGACAGAACCGACGAAACCTCGTGGTCAAAGGCCGCCAAGCTCTGCCCCAAGCCTGTGACGTGATAGCAGCCTTGCTGTGTTGGTTATTTTCTGGACTATTACCAAGTATTTTGCTATATAATGAACAGAATTTGTATTATCTTATAGTTACGTAATATAATTACGAATATGTATGAAAATAAGTGTTGTAGGAGAAATACAGGTTTATACATAAATGATATCTCTTAATCAATATTTGAATATATTCTAACTGTAAGTGTGTTTTTTTTGTTTGATTAAATCGTTTATTCCTTTCATATATAATTGTAGGCCGGTCAAAGCAACAGAACATTTTTTCATGTGTTTAGGTCATGGCATTGATTTCAGCTCATTTTTATATAAGAATAAATAAATCAATCTACGAATTCAGTTTGATTCACTGTAAGACCATAACACAAACATTGTAACAATAGACTCTGCATTACTTTTCCTAACCGTCATACTGCCAAGCGTCAGCCTAAAGCAAGGGTTGTCTGCCTCCTCCTCTACCCTAAACTCTGGCCCTCAATTCCCGTCGCGCAGGAGGAGTTCCGTGGGCCATGGCCGTCGGAAGATGCTTTCTAAGGCTTGATCTGCAGGCCTTAAACGTGTGTGTGTGTGTGTGTGTGTGTGTGTGTGTGTGTGTGTGTGTGTGTGTGTGTGTGTGTGTGTGTGTGTGTGCGCGCATATATTATGTATTCTATACATGTAAACATCTCTCTTTAATTTCCACTGGGCATCTGTTCACTCAGTAGTTGCTGCACGGCCTCATCATGCTGTGAGTTATATTAATATTTTTCATTCCAAGCCCGAATGGCTCAGTCGGTAGAGCATTAGGCTTTTAACCTAAGGGTCCAGGGTTCGAGTCCCTGTTCGGGCGAAACGTTTTAAAAAGAAAGAAAGAGGGAGAGGAAATAATAATTTAACTGTGAATTGGTTTCTAGATATATATCAGGATACTAATTCATTCAACTCACTTATCACTTCTAATCTTTGAAAAGCTGAAGGATAAGTGACTGAGGCAATGCGCAAGAGAAAGCTTAACCTATTCTTCATGCAAAAATCCTTGCAGACTTCACATTAGGAATCACTTA